TCCATAATCACTTCTCAGCAATTATTTGTTATTATTACAGTTTAACATTATAAAATTAACAAAAATAATATAAAACTCATATTCTGGAGAAATAGCCACGTGGCAGCCGAAAACCGTATATTCCCTTCCTGTTCTCCAGCCCATTTGTGCATTCTTTCCAAAAATTGGGACTTTTTTAAAACGCTGTGGGACACGGGACAAATTGTTAAAAAGTGGGACTGTCCCGCCAAAAGCGGGACGTCTGGTCACCCTAAACTGGCAGGAACGTCAAATGCACAGCCACACTGGAAAACAGGCATTTTCTCATAAAACTAAATGTGTATGTGTCCAACTTAACAAATTGTGTACATTTAATATGTGACGTTTTTACATATCAATTACTATGGTTTGACTGTGTCCCCTCCAGAATTCAGGTGCTGCTGATGTGATAGCATGTACATTAAGAGACTGGGCCTTTCAGAGGTCATGAGGGCTCTTTCCTCATGATGGATTAAAGTCCTTATAAAGGAAGGAGAAGTCGCAAAGCATTTTGTGAGCTTGTCCTTCCACCTCCTCCCATGTGAGGACACAGCACTCCTGCCCTCCAAAGGATGCAGCCCTCATCAGACAAATGAACCTGCTAGTCTTAGTCTTAGACTTCCCAGCATCCACAACTGTGAGAAACTAAATATCTGTTCTTTACACATTACGTAGTTGGTGGTATTTTTTTAGAGCAGAAAAAATGGACTAAGACATCAAATTATATCTCAATAAAGATTTTTTTTTTTTTTGCTGTTTTTTGGCCGGGGCTGGGTTTGAACCCACCACCTCTGGCATATGGGGCCGGCGCCTTACTCCTTTGAGCCATAGGCGCTGCCCATAAGAATGTTTTATTTTTTTTTAAATGTCCAATTAACATACAACAAGCAATTGTACTCTTGGGTATTCGTGTTAGAGAAATGAAGCTGTATACTTATACCAAAACCTGTACATAAATTTTCATAGCAACCTTATTCCTAATAGTTAAAATGTGGGGAGAAGAACCCTAAAATTTCCTTCAGTATATGAATGGTTAAATCATGGTATACCCATACCATGGAATAGTACTCAGCAATAAGGAAGAGACTACTGATACACACTTGGTTGAATCTCCAGGGAATTAGGTAGAGTGAGAAAAGCCACTACCAAAAGGTTATGTACTAAATGCAACCAATTACATAACAATACTGAAATGACAAAATTGTAGAGATGGGGAACAGGTCACGGTTGCCAAGGATTAGGAACAGGTGAGTGGGGGGAAGGGCAGGCTGCTAGAAGGGGAAGGGTTTGGTTATAAAAGGGCAATGCGTGAACCTTCTGGTGATAGAACCATTCTGCATCTTGACTATGAGGGTGAACAGACAAACCTTCTCATGTGATAAAACTGCAAATAACTAAATTCACAAACACACAAATGAATCACTGTAGCCTTACAAGATGCTACCACGGGGAGAAATTTGGTAAAGGGTATTATTTCTTATAATTGTGTGCAAATCTACAATGATCTTGATATTAAACTTTTAATGTAAAAATGAACACTAATTTGCACCAAGGATCTTTCTAAATCTAGATTAAAGGATAATGCTTTTGATAATACGTATCATTTCAAACTCACCGGAATTAGGACGGATGCAGAAAGATGAGGTCATACCTCGGCTCATATTCTCATTTTCCGCTAAACCTGAGTAATTCACCATATTAGGGTTATTTGGCAGACCAGGTGCCTGTGACAGAAGTGCTGTAGGCACTGCTGGAGGAGCTTGAAAAGGTGAGATTTCACCACTGGTATTATTTTCACCTTCGTTGACAAAACAGGATAGTTTGGAGAGAATAGGAAATGAGTTGGCTTGTAAGAAATGCGGATTTAATGAATGTGCAGAGACAATTCTGGGGAGTGGTGGACTCGCCCTTTGGTCTTGCTGCTGCAACAGACGAGATGCTTCTACAGGGTTGCCCCAGGCAGGGGGTTCCTTCTTTGTCTCTGGGAATGGTGAAGTACAATTCACCTGTCCACACTAAGAGAACAAAATGGATCAAGCTCTTATCTTTGGTCCTAGTACTTCAGTATCTCCATGAGATATACATACAATGCAATTAAAACATTTTTGTATAAATTCCAATTACCTCTAAAATGACATCAGCCCCATATAAATCAACTGTGACTAAAAATGAGGATTTAAAGCATTCATACTTATTTTCCTTGAACCATCATTTTTCCATTGTTAAGGGTAAATGCTGATTTTGATTATATGTTTTGAATTCATCTTCAACCTTACATTTTAATTGCATTTTGCACACGATGTTTACTAACATAAAAATCCTCAGCATAATTTATCAAACCTTAACTTCAGCATTCTTCTAACAGTTTTAGCGCCCCAACTGCTAATTAAAGTTAAGTAGAGATCAGCCTTGCTAATTTCATGTTTACTAGTTCTAGTCACTTCTAACTGATTGGTATCTTTAAAAACGAAAGATTGATCCCCAAAAATTAAAAAACTAGAGATTTATCAAAGGTGTATTTAGTATTGTAAGAATATTTTTATAATACTTACACATTTTGCACCCATTGAGTTCTCCCAAGATTGTTGCATTTTTGAAAGAATTCCACACAGCTGGCTAACCTGCCTACTCATGTTTTCAATGGCTTCAAGTAAATCCTGCGATTATAAAAAAAAAAAAAAGCAGTAGTTCTATATCAAAGAAAAGCAACAAAGAAAAGCAAAAGTACCGTTCAGTCAAATTTTAACTGCTAGACACAACAAAATTTCTCAAGCCCTCAGAAGTGTCTTGCTTCCTACTTGAGGCCTGGTTGTAGATAACACAGAGCCAAGTGGCTAAACTAAAGAGCCCCAACTTTCCCTTCACACAGGTGTTAAGGAAGCTCTAATGCCGGAAAAGAATGTACCACACTTCCAGGGATGTCCAACCTGTGACCTGTGGGCCTGTGACATGTGATGACTGTTTTGCTTATCTGTGGTGTCAGTTATCATGAAAATTATCCATGGATCTTTTTGGTTTGCTCATCAGCTTTCATTAGTGCCAGTGTATTTCATGTGTGGCCCAAGACAACTCTTATTCTTCCAATGTGCAACAGAGAAGAAAATAGGTTGGACACCCTGCAAGCCAGCACACTGACAATGGAGTCATTTTACATCAAGGAAGGCACCATTTTAGGAAAGAAATATTCAAATCTGCTAATAGGCTGAAGACTCACTCTCTGTATAATGACTCATGAACATTAAAAGTTATTATCATGTTCATATAAAACATATATATACATAAAAGTCTATAGACAGTGATAGACAGTGAACATTCTACTCCAGAAAGAAGATTGAGCCAAGTATAACAGAAGTGACTGTTTTGACTTCAAAGTATTTTAAAGTCATGCAGTCAATTAACCATAAACTATTAAGTACCCATTCCTATATGCCAATTGGGCATGTGACTGGTAAAAATCTGAGGATTCTTCTTGAAATACACAGACATTTCAGGCATAAAGTATACTTAAACAAAAGGCCAGAAACTTTTCCTCATTCATTCATTCAAATCAGCATTTATTGACGGCCTACCACCTGTCAGAACTATGTTGCTAGGAGCTGGGAACCTGGACTTAGGAAAAAAGCTCCTGTCCTAGAGGAACCCCCATCTCAGCTGGGGAGACAGACAAGTAAAGAGACCAGTCCAACAGAGACCAAGTGATGCACAGTGTGGACCAGTGGTTCCCAAAGTGTGGTCCATGGAGGGGCAGCGTCGACACCACCTGCAAGCTTCTTAGAGATGCAAACCCTTGGGCTCCACCTCACACCTACTGAGTTGAGAACTCTGAGAGTGGGGGCACCAGTCTGTGGATTAACAAGCCCTCCAGAGATTCTGAAGGTCACTTAAGTGCGAGGACCACTGGCCGGCGGCTCTGAGGTAAACAGCGCAGGCTCTAGGAAAACGAGGTTAGGGCCAAATATTAGAGTTCTGCAGCTTACCAGCTATGTGACCTTGGGCAAGTTACTCAACTTCTCTGTGCTTCTATTTCTTTATGTAGGGAATCAGATAAAAATCTCTCTTAGGGATCTTTTGAGGACAGCAGCCTTGCTATGGTGTTATGCTAATGCTGACAGTGACAGACTACATGATGCTGGTCTAACAGCACTCAGTGGTATCATCACATCACCACTGTCACTGCCATTCCATGCCGTGACATAGGTCAGAACAGGAGGCTAAGTGTGCACAGAGGAGCAGGACCTAACCCAGGAGGGCAGTCATGGCAGGCCTTTCAGAGAAGGTGATGTGAATTGAGAACGAGAAGACGTTTGCCAGGTGAAGACACGTGGACGGGCACACGGACAGGAGGAACAGCGTGTTCAAAAACACCCGGAGAGAAAAGGAAGCCAGCTGTATGGACAGTGACTATCATGATAGTCAGGAGCTGAGTTTTCACAGGAGGGAGAGAGCAAAGTGACAGCAAATGAGGGATGGGAGGCGAGAGGACTGGCTTTTCAAAGCCATGAGAAGGGGAAGGAGTGACAAGGACAGGAATGGAGCCAGAGGGGGCGCCCAGCGGAAGGCAGTGTCTGAGCACAGGGGAGAGGGCCAGACGCAGAAACCAGAGCAGGTGTCAGCCCTGACAGCAAGAGCACCTTTCTGTCACAGTGGTCAGGGAGGGGTGAAAAGGAGGACAGGGTTGGCCATCTGGTGGCCTATGGGGACAGAAATGAGACAGAGAGAAGGACTGCTCTAGGAGAGAATTGACAGGACAGAGGGGTCTGAAGCGTGCAGGGGTTCCTGGGACTGGTGAAGGGTGACAGGGCAGGGACAGCCAGCAAAGGGTATCCTCCTCCACTCCCAGTCTAAACAGGGCCTGGATGGGGAGTGGACAGAAGAGGGTGCTGGGCAAGGACAAGCCACTCAGTGGAGGGACTGGGAGGAAAGAAGAGCAGGCAGAAGCATCCAGAATGCAGGCAAGAGGCGGAGGAAGCAAAGAGCCAGCCCTGGGGGGATGGAGAGGAGCCCTCAGGACCATTTCAGGCTATGGTTCTGGCCCTGGGCACGTCCCATCCTAGATGCTACCCCAGCTTGCACCTGTGCTGAACAGACCTCGGTCACCGCCAAAACCCTCAGGCAAGAGGAAAGGCAGGGAGGAGAGCCCGCCCCTCCCTCCAGCCCACCTGAGCCCTCTTTCCTCTCCATCTGGCCAGCTGTACGTGTCCCTTGGACACATTCCACTTGTGTCCTTTTTATGCCCTAACTCCATCTTGCTAAGGGCTTACAAGCCTCTCCCCTTAAAACAGGAAGCTCAGCTGAAAAAGTTTAGTAATAATCGCAAAACCCCAGCTCCCACTTGTAACCTTCCCCTTACCAGGAGTTGGCTCTTGTCAAATTTGGCTTGCGTTAAGGACTCCTCCTCCCCTACCCAAAGCCCCTTAAGAAAGGTTTCCACCCCCATTTCCAGGAGTTGAGAGACTTTGAGGCGTGAACCTGCTCTCCATCCAGTCCATCAGCAAAGGACCCTTGCCTAATTTGGACTAAGTGTGCTGGCGTTTCTCTGTTCCACTCGTTTCAGGTATAACACTGAGTTACATTTAACGATGATGCATACCATTTAACATACTTAACATCCTCACTAATGACAATGACCCAGACAAACCCTTTC